TCACTGGAGAGCCCAGGGCGCAGCCTTGGCAGACGCGGGGACTGGCTGCAGCGGCAGAGACCCCCCCAAAGGCCCTGGGCAGGGGTCACTTCCCAGGGGCCCGGTGGAGCCCTTGCCAGCACCCTCTGGCTAGGGGGGTTGGTAAGGTCTGAGCTGCTCCTCGGGCAGGAGGACCAGCTTTGTCGCTCCCAGGCCCTGGGACAGCAAGGGGCAAGTGCACCTCCTACTGGCTTTTCCTGCCACGTCCCCTGAGGATGAGGACGAGGCAGCTGGGCCGCTGCTGGGTGTCTTCCGCTCTTTGTCACCTGCCTTCCGTGCCAGATTCTTTCCTCCTTTGTGCTTTTCCCTCTGCATGAGGTTGGCCTGTAATTTTTCTTTGTCATGTTGGCCTTCTCTGATTTGGGCATCAAGTTATGCTGGTTTCATAAAATATAAAGGGGAACTGTCTATTTCTATTCTATTTCTATTGTTCCCGGGAGGTTTTGGTAAAACTGGCTTTTAAAAACGTGTAGGCCTAAGTGCTTTTTATTAGATTTTTGACTACGGATTCAATTTCTTTAACAGTTATAGTTCTGTTTGGGCATTCTATTTGTCTTGAGTCACTATTGGTAATTTACTCTTCCGTTCTATTGACTATCCATCTAAAATTTTCAGATTTACTGGCATACAGATGTTCATAGTGTCTGTTCAAAAATTTAAAATCTGTTTTATCTCCCGTTATATCCTCTTTCCACTGCTAACGTTCCAATATGCGCTTATGGAACGCTCGCACGTGGCTCTGTCCCTTCTGTGTGTGTTGAATCTGAGTCCCCCTCCTCCTGTTGGCTCCTCTCTCTAACCTGCATCCCCAGGAGTGCCCTTATCTGAGAGGGGGCCAGTCTCTGGCACTGGTGGGCAGGGGGCCCTTTCCTGGCTTCCCAAGATTGGGATGTGTCTCTCTTATGGGAAGAGTTGGTGCCACCCAGTTTCCCTCGGTCCATAGCATCTGCCAGGCATGGTGCGGGGGTGAAGAAGTTCAAGCGGTGATCACATACTCTCTTTCCTCCATGGTTCCTTCTGTTTCCTTGGCCTCCTTCACCTTATCTGAGACAAGGAAGCTGAGGCGCCCATCTGTGTAATCTGTCCCAAACAGAGCTTTCACCGGGCTTCTCCCCTGCTCGGGAACCTTCCGCCCAGGCGGCTCACCACAGCGCACAGCAAGGATGGAACTGCACTCCCCTGAGAGGCCAGACACAGCTCCGGGCGCCTGGGGACTGACACTTTCGGCACCTCGAGAGGGGTGGGGAGCCCACCGGCCAGGCACCAATGGCGCCTCAGGAGGGGTGACACGTGAGCTATTGGTGGCTAGTCACCGTCGGATGCTGGTGGCAGGGCGGGCAGGGGAGGCTGAGAGGAAGATGCAGCCCCGCGGCTGCACTTACAGCCCGGACCTGTGGGAAGGAAGGGCCTCCCATCCCGGCGCCTCGGATCCACCGAGCGCCTTTTCCCGGAGCCGTGGCGCATGCGCGTGGACTTGGGGCCCGGGACACCTGTCACCCCACCTTCCTTGCGGATCTTTGAGACGTTAATACGCGGAGCACCGGACGGAGAGGCCCCCACAGCACCCCTCCCTTTCCTTTCAGATCTCCTTTCACCTGGAAAACCCGGGAAGGAATCTCGGAAGGTGAGAGAAGAAACCACGCAGAGGCTACTAGGTCACTAGTGTGAGGACCGCGAGCGCCGCGCTGGGCGCCGCGGGGCGCCGACCTGCACTGCAGTGTCACTGGTCCCCGTAGACAGGGGCGGGGCCTCGGGAACCAACATCCCGTACAGGCTGCAGCGGGTCAAGAACGTAGAAAAAGATGTCCGTGCCTTCCTCGGACTCTAGGGGGCGACAGAGCAAACCCGCCGGCGGACCCCAGGCTCCAGCCTCGGCTGCTCTCACGAGTTAACAGCCAGGTCGTGGCACCCGGACATACCGGCAGCACTTTAAACAGATGTGTAATTTGGGGGGAAATCACATGGAAAACTGGCCGAAGATGCTACCTAGTTAAGAAAAATGGTTGGGAAAAACCACCTCAAAATTTTAAACATTTTTGTCTAAAAATTGGGAAATTTTAATTTTTAGTGAAACGCTTGAATCCAGCTCAAAAAACATGCATAAGTGGAAACAACCAATTGAGTTCAAAAGTTTCTTCATTTTGCATATGGAAAAAAGGGTGAATCCAGAGATGTGGATTATCAACATAGTGGGAGAGCCAGGGCAGGAAAGAGGGTCCCCCATCCTCCACAGCAGTCAGCCTAACTTCGTTTTTTCTTTATCGGGGCTGCATCTTCCCCAGCGGGTTATATGATCAAGGCAGTGTGGCCCCGATTGGGCAGCGCCGGCATCAACCTGCCCTCCTCAGAAATGCAAAATCTAGGTCTCTACCCGTGACCGACTGAGTCTGAATCTGAGTTAAGCAGCCCCACCCCCACCCTGAGATGGCAGTGCTGCTCAGCCATCGTATATGTGTACACGTGTGTGCGCACTCACGTGTATGTGAACCGTCTGGGGACAATGGCCTACTCTTAGAAGGCTTGCATTCTAATCTCGTTTCTCACACAAATGCTAGGTGGCCCTTGGCAG